CAAGGAAATTTCCCTTCGTTGAGGCTGAAAGAATGGGTCTTGTTAGCCTCTTGCAAGCATTGTCCCTAAAAATAAAAAAAATAAACCCTAATCTTCCCTAAATATTTCTGTCGTGTATTCCTCAAACTCTCAGCTCAGGAGCTAAAGGCAGATGGGAGAAAACGCAGCCTTGGTGGTGGTGGAAGCCTTGGGCATAAAGCTGTTTGCATTCAGGCAGCTGAAGCTCATTTCATGTAGTACTTGCTTCATCAAGTAACGATGATTCAACCATTCTTTAGTTATTGATACTGGTTTCCATTCCTAATGCAGGCATCAAGACTTGCTAGTTAAATGTTATTTATTTATTCTCCAGGGTGTGAGCACACCTCTTCACAGACTGGAGAACAGATGGTTGCCCCCAGAAAGAGGAGGGATATTTTTGTGTGCAGGGGAATCCAGAGTAACCCTGAGTATTACCACAACAACAGTAATTGTTTTACAAACCAAAATGAGATTTTAAGTTGATGGGAATCCATAGATCCCACGAGCACAATCAATGCAGCTGTAGTACAGACTGGAATATCTTCTGTGGTTAACTGTAAATAGCAACTCTGTATCCATGGTTTATTTTTACCAGAGTGTGCTATAATAGGAAAAATAGCAAATGGTAAGTCTATATATAGTCTGTTACTAAGACTGTGAGCTAAATGGTTAGTCAACAGAAAAACCCTAACCTAATCAAGAAATGTCTTTAGGTCTAGTAATAATATTTTGGATACCGAAATGATGTATACTAGGTAGCGAGAGCAATTGCAGCAGTGTGGCTAATATTCTACTACCACAGGTTTTTACTGCTCTTTTTAATGTCGAGTAGGAATTTTGTGAATCACGATGATTTTAATACAGTAGGTATGGATGGCAGAATCTGTACCTGTATTCCCTGACTATTTTCTGCATCTTTCTTCTGCTGGACCAGCAAAAAGTCAATTTCCTTTTCTGCGATATTAATTAACCGTTAAGTAGTGAACAGTTCAGGAAAATAATTAAAACCCAATTGTTCTCTATTCCTCAGCTTGATTAAAAACTCACTTAAAAAAAATCTAAATTTTAGTCCAAACTTGAGAATATGCTGTCCTTTTGTAGTTTATTTATAACTATTTTATGACTGACAGGGTTAGGAAAGTATATAACAAATTCTTAGATAAGCCTTCAAGGTTGCTTCACAGTAGACATGATAGGTAGGAAAAAATACAGGCAGAAGTCAGTTTTTCTTATCTTCTGTATAAACAAGCTGGTATTTCTTTCAAGGCCTTTTCCTTAACTTTCAGCATACCAGATCACTATCAGGCAGTCACAGGGAGAGACATGCAAACATGTTGTTGTTGACTATTTGCCTACTGAATTTATTAATTGGTTTCTAAAGAAAGGAGGCTCCTGCATTCGTTCTGTCTTTGTGCTTGCCTGACATTCCTTGCCTTTCTCCCCTTCACAATCATTTGTGACTTAGCTGGCCAATATTAATCATGTTTGATGAAATGCTGGAGGTCCGTAAAGATAGTAAGTTCCTATTTTTATAAAGCTCCTAGGTGATGGGTAGAGGAGGGAATGACCTGTTTGTAGGGCTGTCCACTTCATGGTAAGAGAAAAGCAAGGGAAACTCTGTCCCTAGCTGCTGGGTTTGGGACAATGCTGCAGAGTGACCCGCAGCCTTCTCACCGGGTTGTGATGCAGACACAGGGTACTCGTACCTCTGTGGGGTAACACCAGGGTGGGCCAAGGCACGGTGAGGTATCAGTGATGTGGAGGGGTTGCACGGAGGGCAGAGCAGGGGGCATCCTTGGGGGTCTACGCAACCAGTAAGTATACTGTGGGTTTTGGCATGCTGGCGGGGTGAGTGGAGCTGCTGTGGAATGACACAGGGGATGCTGAGAGAGAGAGCACTGAGGACCCCGTGAAAGAACTGGGGGTCCACCGTGGCCAAAGGGTAGAAAGCACACAGGGAAAAGAGCTAGGCTGTGAAAAGCACCACAGACATGATGAAGGACGAGGGGTCTTTTGTTTGGAGAGTGTAAGCTGTTTGTGACATGTATCTCTTGGAAAATGTGTACTGTTAATTCTGCTGTTTTCTAGTAGTGCCACGTATTAGTTACAATGCACATTGTTTAAATGAGCCCGATCAAATACCTTCTGAAGTAAATGCTGCTTTTATTTGCTACCAAAGGAGCTAGATAAGGTCCCTAATATAACATACATAATTTATTTGCATGACGTTTATGAATGACTTTGAAGTATATATTTGGAATTTAAATCTTACCATTAGTAATACCTGTCAGAAACTCAGACATGAGCTTCTCAAGGAATTTTTATCCTTCTTAGGTCTATTATAGATTATGTACAACTGAGGCAGGGTTGATATCTTGGAACTTTTTGGTTCATATATTTAGGGGCTTGGGGACTGTCTTAGTTTGTGGTTATACAGTACCCAATGCTTGTCCATGCCATCACGATTCCTGATTCCATTGCAGTGTAAGTAATTATAATATAAATTGTTTTATCTGTTTACAAAACTACATTATAATATAAAATAATTATAGTACTCAAAAACTAAGTATGGTCTTCATCCATCCTTTGGTCTGAGGAATTATATTTGATGTTGATGCCAGTTCTGCAGAGAAGGGAGTCCAAATGCATGCTGATACACTGGTGAAGTGGATGAAATATTTCAGAAGAAAAGGAGTAATTCAGTTAGTTTTCTCCTGTATTTTTAAAATTGGGCTCCATTAGACCTTTTCTTCCTCACCTGCCTTCTCAGCAGTGTTATACAGTTCCACTGTTGGAAGAAATCATGGGAATACTCATGTAGATTGTCTGCAACTTCCTCATCTCCATGTTGTCTAGACACCAGCAATCTCATAGTATATTCATGCCTCCAGAACATCCAGGCTTCCCTTGACTGGAAAGCCTGAATGAGGTAGCTGAACAGAGGGAGTCTGTTTTCCCTTTCAAAGTTCCTTTTTTGCTGGTGGGTAGGTACAGTATTGTACTGAATACCAAATCAGTGTTATATTTCACAGCACAGTTCCCAAATTCATGGTGCAGGGGAAAGGTGAGATGGTGTTGTTTATTCCAGTATCATTGACTAAAAATACCATTTGAAATTGTAAGGGATGAATAAAGTGACACTGAAAAATTCTATGGTATATATGTTATCTTCTTAATGATATTTTATATTCAGCAATAAATGTACTTGAAAGCATTCTGGCAGTTGAATAAGGCACAACTGAAACTTCTGTCAGAAAGGCATGGAATTAGGCCATATTTTTTGGCACCATCTGCCTTGCTAGGTTATAAAGCCAGGTTACCTAACTTTTTCTGTTTCAGGCATCTTGGTTTTTTTCACACTTTTCTTTCTTCAGTGGCATAAATGGAGGACACTCCTGCCCCCTTCTTCCTCAATTATCAGGCAGTCAGGGTATTTTCTGGGAGTGGGGATTGTGGTATCAAATAGTTTTGAATGAAGAGAGCAAGTATCTAAATCTGCTATTCTTGGACAAATTTTCTTTAGACTTGTCCTCATCAACTGTTGTTAAGGGGGGAGGGAAGAGTAGCAGCTTAGGCTGTTTAGCCTAACTTTTTCCAGAGAAAGAAATATATGTGTGAATGGGGAGAGGGAGCACTTCTTGGCTCCCTTTCTTTATCTTGCTGTTGCAACTATAGTATAGTACCTGTATTTTTTCTAAGACTCCTTTTCCTTGCTTGAATGTATAGTTTATCCCAGCTTTGGCTTGAGAGGGGGAGCTAAAAAAAAGGTGCCTCCTCTGAAATAACCTGAACAGAATATTGCCTTAAAGATTTGTGTTAAAGGATGTGGAGACAGCCTCTGCATTCCAGGACTATCAGAGCCAAATAGGGATGTCAGGCTACCCTTCATTAGGTGAAATTGGTGAAATGTAAATAATAATTGGTCAGTGGGTACAGCTGAATACCCTGTAAAACAAATTTGGACACTAGCCATGTGGCATCTTCTACCTGCGTGACCTCACTTGTCCTAGAACTGGGGGACAGGAAGTCTTGTGGGGTTCCTCCCCACCACTTTCTAATGCACTCATACCGCACTGCATCCGAGGCATCCGCTGGCTCCTTCTCCTGGGTGGTTTTGTTTTGGCATCTCCTACAAGCAGTTGTCTATGGTATGGGCACATCTGGCAGTCCGGCTGGTGAGCCACTCTGGCTTGTGGGATGATACTTGGAAGGGCTCTGCGTTAATCTGTTGTGCAAAGGAAGATGTTCTATTGCAGTTTTTCCATGACTCAGAAAAACAAAGAAACCTAAAAGGTCATATGGTGGTGTGTGATTTGTTTTATGGGTTCATTCAATATTGCCATTTTGCATTTAGCCCAACCACAGTGAGTCAACTGGATTGAATTGACTCAGTCAAAATAGAGAACTTGCACAACAGTAGGATTTCAGCCATTCAAAATTCCCTTGCTAATGCACATCAAAGAGATGAAATTAGGTATGGAGTGCGGATTTATTTTTGGGGGGTGAGGTGGGTGACTACAGTTATACTAGCACATCTAAAACCAGTTTAAAGTGAACTTGGGCATCTTGGTATTTTTATGGATCTTGCCTAAATGTTTTACTACCTTGAACTTCCACTAGTTAGGCAAATAAACCTACTTTCAGGAAAGGATACAGAAATTGGCTTGAACATTTAAGCTGTTCTGGTATTGACTTGGCTGGATCTACTTGGATGCTTTGTCAGTTAGTATCTTAAATTGCTACATAAACATCAGAAAGCGAGAAGCTGTAAGGTGGAGAAATTGCAGAGAACTGCTCCATGGTACTCAGTGGCCTAAAATCTGCTGCTTGAATAATTATGTGACAGCTTCCTATGGCTTTGCAGGGTAACTTGTATGCTTTGGCATTAAAAAGTCAAGTGCCCAGTGCCAGCGTTTTCCACCTCAAAGCTGCACCGTGTCAGCGGAGCCAGCTGTGGAGAGCAGCTCCGCCGGCTTGCCATGACTAACGTCAGACTTCCTCTCCGCTGCGCCCTGGGGCCGCTTGTCCATGAAGAGATCGAACTTTGCAAGGAGGGGCTGGATGCAGCTCGGCACCGGCGGCGGCTGGCCCTTGGCTGGTGCAGACAGGCGGATGAAAGGCGCGGGCGGCCCGGCAGCGTTACCCCGTTTTCCGCGGCGCTGCCCCGGGCCTGCCCTTGCCCGAAGGCCCAGCTGCAAGAATCGGGGGATGAGGTCAGCGTGTGAGGGAGGGACGGCTGTCCTTCGCCCCGGCGGCGCCTCAGGGCCCCGGGCCTCTTGTTTCTTCGGCGCCCGGTTTGCCTCGCCCGGCCAGGCCCCTCCTGCAGCAACGGGTAGGGCAGGTGGGTCGGGAGGACTACACCTCCCGGCGTGCCCCGCGGGCCACGGCCGCGCGGAGCATGC